CGGAACAGAAGTTACAGAAAATCAAGCAGAACACAAAGATTAAGCGTAACATAACAGCAGGCACACCTGAGGTGCAGTGTGCGGGAAGCACAAGTACTAAAAATAATCAAGTAAGGCAAATGAAGCGCGTAATGGTAAGTAAATACAGTGGTGCTACCTTAAAATATAATGTCTCGTCAACAAAAGAAACATACGTGCAATGGCAACTTAGTGACAAAAATAGCGCGTCAACAGAAGAAACGTACATAATATGGCAAATAAAGTAACAATATAATAGCGTCGACAGAGAGTCATACATTATGTGGCAAATAAAGTGGCTATACAAATATAATAGCGGTCAACAGACGAAACACATAATAAAGCAAACTCATCCCTTTAAACGACCACGCACACATGTTTACTACATACGTACTGCTTGCATACAACAACTAACAATGACGCATAAATAAAGCACGAACAACCGCAGCTCCCTGCCCCTGGATGAACCCTCCCCACCCAGCCCCCCCCCCCCCACACACACCGGTCAGTCGACCCAGGAACAGTCAGCGGCCACAGCCTGTCAGCGCAACAAAGGTAGTCAGGCGCCGCCCGCTCCGTCGGAGGGAGCCCATCAAACCGCTGACAGCTGACTCGGGAGCAGTCAGCGGGAGGGACAGAGCGGGAGAGCCAGGCGCCCCCACAGGGAGAGAGGGGAGCCGGGACGCGACAGACTCAGCTGCGACGCTGAGCGGAAGGCACGCACCGCGCCGCACAGATTGAGGTCGAAAATAAGGCGAGCCCAATGACAAGCGAGCATATAATTGGATTAGTCAAATGAAGAATTAAATACGTCTGGTAAAGCGAGAAGGGGATATGGAGACTAACCCCGCGTTCGATGCCTCTCGGATGACGAAGATTCTACGTCGTCCGGCCAATCACGTTTCAAGCCGCAGCCGAGCCCCCGCTGACCTTGAACGGGATTGGCCGAACGACGTAGAATCTTCGCCGTTCGAGACATCGAACGCGGGGTAAGGATCACAGACTAAACTGAATTTGAAGTTAGATGCTGACGCCTGACACTTGGTATAAACTGGACACAAACACGCTCTCCTCTTAAAGGGACCCTCCCACCTTCAAAAAAGTTAATGAATTGGCATGAAAGTGATGTCGCTCGGTTCAGAAAGAGTGAACACGAATATCTACCAAATTTCATCGAAAAATATCCACTGGTTTTCAAGATATTAGACTTTTACTTTTGTTTACTTTTTGGGATCTTCGCTGTTTCTAGCGACTTTATTTTAGAAGTGCGGCGTTTGCGGCAGATGTTGCGCGCAAATAGCATATACCACCGCGTGCTACAAAACGTTTTAGTCAAACATTTAAAAATCGTTAGATATCAGCGCTGACGTCACACATTCAGAGGGGTATTCCTAAGCATTAGCCCCTCTGAATCAAAATGCTGCAATTTTGAAATTCAATATTTCCGATATAAGGCATTTCTCGATGTTGTGAGTGCCGAAACCGGTAATTGTGAGCCAGGGACCCCATTTTGGCTATCTCAACTCAAATCTAATGTTAAGGTGGGAGGGTCCCTTTAAGAGTTCAGGTTCTGTCCATTTACTTTCACACTTTTCAGCTCGCCCTTTGAATCCATACGTTTACTGAAGTGCGGAACAACGAATATTTGAATAAAATAAATACAACATTTAAAAACAGACTTTATATTAATTTATCTCCGCTGAACCGCATCAACTTCATGAGTCAGCCCCCTCGAATGCAATGCGAAGGCGACGCGATACCAAATTTTTGGACCCAGTTGCGGCATTCAACAGTGGGCGATATTATTATATATGGAACGGTTGCCTTTGCATAATACTCAAGTTGCGCGATAACTTCTTTCGAAATCATGCAATGCCAAATTTTAGGATGGCGCCGCACTCAATATCGCCGATAACCTTTGCGTCACCAAAAGCTAGGCTTTTGACAGATTCGCGGCTCAAGTTGATACACAATTCCTTCCGATAAAGCCGCAAACAGACATGATTGATTTCAGATTAGGCCACCCAAATATGGATCATTGCGCACACAGCGGCGGCGAAATCAACCAGATACGGGCGGCGGGCGCAAACACCCAGTGAATCCATCGACAGCAGCGCCAAGAAATTGGAGCCGATATGCAGTGCCGGGTGAGCCCGCCCAGTGAATGACGCCGCCTGTCCGCGTCAGAGTGACGTCACGGGCGCCACCGCACGTGACGTCACGACACAGGAGCGTGACGTACATACACGCCCCTGTATAATTTGCCCGTCACACGACGGTGGCCGGTGCCGCGGCCAGGCCATGCGTCGTGGACGACAGAAGCCAGCAGTGGCGTACCGACGACCCGGCGCGGCCCAAGTCGCATGACAAGGCGCGTCATAAGTCGCATGTCAAGCCTAATAGCAAACAATCAAACGGACACGTCAGGCGCCAGAGCCGTTGCTACATAGTTCCCAGGTCAATGCAATTACTCTGATCGATCGAAATGAGCAACCATTGACCAATAATAGTAGTAAGCAATAGGTGTAGAGTAGATTTGTGCAACTCATTTTCCAATGCACAAACCTGCTTATCAACATAAGGCAAATGAAAAGCCAACAAATTACAAAAAAAGAGCGTAAAGTCCCGTAGATAAGCTGGCAGAGCGTTGCCCAGTTTTGAGTCGCTCCCGCGCTCTTTACCATAAAACTATAAACTCCTAACGGCAGTGATGCGGAGCCGGAGCCGGAGTCGGAGCCGGAGCCGCCGGAGCCGGCATATTTTGCCCGGAGCCGTGAAACAATATAGCCCGGAGCCGGAGCCTGAGCCGCCAAAAAAGGGGGCGACTCCGGCTCCTTTTTATTTTTTGAAGAGGAAAAAAATAATTGACCTAGTTCGGTTTGACAGTACAAGGCAGTAAAACATATGGTACTATTGGTCTCAAGATAAGGGCCCAGGCGACCTGTAGTTTTGGTGCGGTGAATACCCTCACCCTCGCCACAACTCGAGTGGGGGTGGCGCTGGCTGGGAGAAGGGGTGCACTCGGCCCGAGTTGTGGCGAGGGTAAGGGTATTCACCGCATCAAAACTACAGGTCGCCTGGGCCCTTATCTTGAGACCAATAGTACGTCATGGGCCATCAAGTGAATGAAAAAAGCCGAATATCCCCAGTATCCCACAGTACGCAATCAACTTCCTGTCTGCTCCTCCCCCCCCCCCCACGTCTACTACATCCCCAGAACATGAGGACCGGTCATCAGGTGACGGCCATTGTTTTGAAGCCAGTGCAGTGGACTGCGACTCCCAGCACCGTCTCTTCCCCCCCCCCCCCACCCCCCCCCCCAATGCAGCCGAGACGGGTGTCAGCTTACGATGGTTCAGTGAACTCCGATTCGCGGCGACTGCGTTTCCAATGCCATCGCTTCCTAGTCCTTTGTTCTGCCTGTTCTCTCCGAGGTGCGTTTGTGCGGGGACGCGGTGAACCGGTCATGGCAAAGAGTAACACGTATAACCAATCCAATTTTTCTTCCACCCGTATTTAATTGATTGCATAGGGGATGTACTGAGTCGGAGCCGGAGCCGCCGGAGCCGGACCATTTTACTCGGAGCCGGAGCCGGAACCGGAGCCGCCATAACATTTTACCCGGAGCCGGAGCCGATTTTTTCTCCGGAGCCGGAGCCGGAGCCGGAGCCGTCTGAAATTTCCACGGCTCCGCATCCCTGCCCAACGGGGATGGTCCGCAGTTGGTGGCACTCACCGAAGCCAGTTGAATAGACGGACAGACAGTAGCGGCGGAACACCTTCAATTAAGGGGGGGGGGGGGGGCACTGCCGACTTTTGGTCCCATTCTTTCCATGCAGCGCCCATAAGGCTAATGTTAAAATGCCAAAATCAAAGGGGGGCACGGTGCCCCGGTGCCCTCACCGTTCCGCCGCCTATGCGGACAGAGTGTGTCCGAGTTCAACGTATATCAAAAGTAGGATGCAACTTGAACTGATGCTCATACCATAGGTCAAAATAATATGAAATTCATCATTTTGATACATTGTTGGAGGAACGAGATGAGGTCAATTTTCATCCCACCTTTGATAATCATGCCCAAAGAAACGTCGCACTACATAAACTGTACAAATCATCAACTAATTAGCCTATTAGCGGATAATTTTCAGCGCAGCGAACTTCTGATCTTGCTACCAAGTACTCTTGAGACCATTCCAAGCGAGGCCACCGCACACTATCCATCCGGCCGGGTTACTCGGCTGTCGCAGTAGCGATTTTGTCGCGCCAGTGCTGATTCTTCAAGCAGAATATTTCACCGTGAACATGTAGGTACCGGTTGAATTCCAAGAAATTATATTTTTGAAGGAATAACTAAAATTATAATCAGTGTGCAATATTTCGTGACACACGGAACAGAGTCAAGCAGACTACAGTTTGAAATATAAAACTACTCATAACTTGTACACATATCAGTAAAGATGCAAAATTAACTCATAATATTGCAGCTTGAGTACAATAACTTAGAAGGTTGACGACTCTAAAATATCCTAAACTTTAAATATTTACTTAATAAAGAATATTCACCTCATACGACACAAACTTTGGTATTTCGAATTGTTAGCAACTCGGACCATAAAGGATGCATTACGTAACGGCTGCGGGTTTTCTCCTGCTAAGTCGGAAAGTTGTTTTCGGTCATTGCGTATATATCTTTAAGGGTTAAAGCCTTAAAAATAATTTCACAATATGCGATGAATGCACCTACAACTCTGAGACATTCGGTTGGTTATTCGACCGCGCGCGCGCGATGTAGAGACTCGCGCGAGAAAACCGCTCCTGTAACAGCCGAACGAAGTGGCCGAATGGCTAGTGTGCGGTGGTCAACACTAACAGCCCGCATTTCTTCTCAACTATTTAGCATTTACAAGTTGTCACTGCTGACGAAGGTGCAGAGCGAGGTGCGTTTCATACAGATCCCCCCGTTCAGCCGTGTGGGTACTGACCTGGCATGAGGCGCTCAGACCCGGGCGGGGGCCTGCGAGCCCGCACGGCCGTTCCTGTCTCAGGCCTCCGAGTAGTCCTTGCCCTTGTGTCCGAGGCGCCGGGCCAGGTCGCACATCACCTCGCTGAAGATGACGGCGTCCATGTTCTGTCCGAGCATGTAGAGCAGAAACCAGTCGCCGATCCGCGACCGGCGGATGATGACGCTGATGGCGTCCCGGCTGACGAACCGCAGCCGCATCTGCAGCGAGACGGCGCGCAGCTTGGGGCTGACCATGAGCAGCAGGCGCGCCATGCTGTTGAGCAGCGTCAGGCCGGCCAGGATCAGAAACCAAAACCACAGGAACAGGTACAGCTTCTCGTTGACGATGTTGAGCGGCAGGATGCAGAGCACGTCCAGCACCTCGATGTTGCTCGACGGCCCGTACTTGCGGAAGATGCACTTGGTCATGCGTGGGAAGACGCGGACGAGCGGGTCGATGCGCAGCTCCGGGTCCTGCTCCGCGTAGGCGATCACGTCTAGGCCCAGCGTCAGAAACTCGCCGTCAAAGAACCGGTCGATCAGAAATATCTGACCTGAAACAAACACACGAAAATGTAAGTTACACTGTTGTAGCCACAACAGCGCTATGCGTCGACGACAGTTCTACGCAAATAATGGATGCGCTGATAGTCCAAGGTCCCAGCTGACCGTCTAAGCGTGTTTGTTCACTGTTCGCCCAGTCAGTGTAGCAAAGACATTGCCTGATAACTGCTCATAATCACCCCGGTTGGTCAAGACAATGCAAAAATCCGTAACTGTTTTCCGACAGGTAAGTCGTCAAATTCAATAACGGGGCCACCGGGCCTGGTTCAGTGGGGAGGTGGAGGTAGCGAGGGTGTCCGCAGCTGACACGTAAAACCACCCCGACTCGATGAAGGAGCCGCACCTAGCTAGTAGGGATGATCTTGTTACACAGACTACACACCAGCCGTCCCCTTCATGGTACGCCAGCGGCGAAGGTGCGCGGCGGAGGTGCGGATCGCAACGTGCGTCGAACCAGGGCCAGGGACGCACGGGGCCGTGGTGGGTCAATGCGACAGCCAGCACCGTCCGCCGTCGCTATACACACACAAGGCCACGACGTAACTACACGGCCGCAGGCGATTACCGGGCTAACCCGTCCCGCGTACGAGAATGGTTTGATATATGTGACCATTTGTCACAATGACATAATGCCACACGCCTGGATACATATAACGAAGGGGGTTAGGGTATCGCCTCATATCGTCAATGCTCTGAGCGCATATCTGTGCTGATGCATATTTTCAATCCAATTCGGGCCTATGCTATGTCACAGAAAAATAAATAATTCAAACGGAGGCTAGGCGCTGGGCGGGCGGCGACATTGGAGTCCATCAGCCGGTTAAATGTCAAACAGGTACTCGAGCGACCGCCTTTTCAGACCTTAACCCGCGACCTGGTGGGGGGGGGGGGCTATTTTTTGCCCCCCCTCCAGACTTTTCGATATATCTCCAGAACCGCTGCGCCGATCGTCACCAAACTTTCAGTACCCTCCCGGTCATCAATTTTACACATTGTGACCAAAAATTTTTCCAAAAGCTATGATAGGCTGGCCGAAAATGACGTCAGAGTGACGTCATGTTCTGCCGTTTTCGACCCAAAAAAGGGTTTCGCGGGAAGAGCTGTCAGGTCTATAGCTTTGCAAATACAGAAAAATGTTTAGGACATAAAAGCTGTAGAATTGACAGGGCTACAAAACTGCTATCTCGGATTTTTGATTTTTTTATTTTGACCCCCAAAAATCAAAAAATAGATTTTTGGGATATAATAGTCAAAAAATCCAAAGTGTTTTGAATTTCGCAAAAACCGGAATATATGTGATAGTCCTTACCGCCTTCCATCCACATACCAAATTTTAGATTGATACCTCTTTTTTTGGCGAAGTTATAGCGAAAAAACTGTTCAAAATTGATGACGTCAAATTTTCAAACTCAATTTTTAGCAGTTCTAGACCTCGTAGTGCAAAACAAAGACCACCATTAGACTCCCCGTGACAAGCTGCATCGAATCGATACCCTTTTTATGCAAAAATATCAACTTTGAAATTTGACCTTTTTTGACCTGACCTTGACCTGACCTCCACCAGAAAGTGACCTAAACCGTACCTGATGGTCTTATAACCAACACCATTGGGTTGGAAATGAAAAACTGGCCATAAAACATGCATCGCACAACCTTAGTAAAGTTGGGTTCATGTGGTGACCCTTGGTGACCTTTGGTGACCTGACCTGTGACCTGACCTGGTATGACCAGTGACCTCTAATAGCAACATATGTACTAGACAACTGACGTCTTATCGCTGATTTTCGACAAAATGCGTTTTACTCGGTGTTATAGCGCTTTCCCTAGAAGCCCCGTGAACGGTGAAACATTTTATCTTTGACCTGACCTGTGACGTCATCGGTGACCCCGAGGTCAATAAAATTTGGTTTCCCTCAACAAATTTGACAGGGCTATCGAACGCCGTTTGAATTTTGCGGATCCGCCCAGTAGTTTCGGAGATACGAGGGGGGGGCAAAAAATAGCCCCCCCCCCCCCCCCCCACCAGGTCGCGTTATAAACAGACCCCACCAGGGCGCGGGTTAACCGCCTTTTCAGCTGATATCCAGGTGCGCATAGGTATGCCTGAATTCATCATATATGTATCCACGCATAAGCATGCACATTTCACACAAACGGCAGGCTTGACGAAAGTGAAAAGTGTCGCCAGCAACCGCTAATTAGAAGCGACTTCCGACAAATTCACAGCGGACCTTTGATGTGAAGGGTCAACGCTGAAAAGCAGCAACAAACGAGCAATCTAAACGAGCAGGAACAAACGAGAAATCTAAAGCACTCGGCCGTTCCCAGGTGAAAAAAGCTGAGTGACGCATTGACAGCACTCTGAGACAGTCTGCCAAAATATGGCATACAAAGGTATCAGCCACCAGTCGTAAATGGGATGCTGCTAAGTTCCGCGGGCCCATCGTCAACTTCTTTACACGCAGCATGTTGGATATGTAACTGTAATCAACGAACGTTTATGTGCGCATGTAAAGGCTGCGCACCTGCTTGGCCTACAGGCAGGCGCGGATACAAGGGGGGGGGGGCCATGGGGGCCATGGCCCCCCCTTGGCCGATTTTTTTCAAAAATAAAATAAAAAGTTAAAAAGTTAAAAAGCTGAAAAGGGGGCCTCCTGAAAATAAAGTGGCCGAAATCCGATGAGTTTTTTTTTTAACCTACCCACTTAGTTATTTCTTAGAAGACTAGCTGGGAAGACTTCTTTGTTAGAAGATTGGTAAAGCTTTTCATAACTTGGAGGTCTCTTATACTCGCAGAGATGACCACTTTTACAGGGCCTCGTAACCTGCACAGAGGGCCTCCAAGCCTGCACAGATGTTGAGATGTTGCCTGAACAGCTAGATAAGCTCAATAGACGCAGTTTTTTTTTGGGGGGGGGGCCCAACAAGTGGGAAGATGGGGCCTCCAACAGGTGGGATTATGGGGGGGGGCCTCCTGGTTTCTAATGGCCCCTCCCTTGGAGATTTTCTGGATCCGCCCCTGCCTACAGGAGATACAAGTCATTTCCTCAGCAATTTTCTCGTTTCCTGTCGGGACGGGCTGCAGTTAACACTCCAGGGACGCATTATGAGCCCACCAAAACCAGGTGTACTCGATTAACCGCTAAATCCCGGGCCGGACAGCCGCCGTTCGGCGATAGCATCGTACCGCGTCGCACACGGACCGCCGATGGGCGCGCGGCGGGCATTTGACACCTGCAGTGCCCATGGGGCCACTCGGGCGTGCGTAAACGACATCGGCGGCGCACTGTGGCCATTAGCGGCCGCCGGTGCCGGTCGGCGGCCCCTTCCGTATTTATAGTGTGGCCGGTCGATGGCCAGCACAAGGCCCGACCCACTTCAGGCGCTGTATGAATGCCGCACCGCGACACACGACACAGGACACACAGTGCCACAGCGGCACACGGCACCGGCCCGGCCGTCCCAGTCCGTCCCACCAAGCGCCCGCTGGTGGCGCCTAGCAGACTGCTGCTCAGAGCGCAGAGATCGATCCAACAATCCTGTGATTTCAATCCAATAGAAATATGAATCCGGAGGCTTAGCGACTCTGTGCTGTGCAATTTTCAGCAAATCACTTTCTGAGACGTTGAAACCGTATTTGAAGCCAAGTGACTCATATTTTCCCCTGACCTGATTCCCCGCTGGGTGCCACTCAACTAGCTGGCTACTATTAGTGGGCCAATTTCATTATCTAGAACACAGTACGTGTTCCTGAAAGCAACTAAATTGACCGAACCTGCAGCAGCTGTAGTAAGTGTGTCCACTGAATTTTGTAACCGGTTCAGCTCCCGTTATGTAAAACACGATTTATTATGGAATGCTGCAATTTGACCCAGGTTGATGAATGCATTTTCAAGGCGAAGATAAGAAGCAAAAGATCACCGGAAACAATGTGAGTGGCTTTCAAATAACTCATTGGAAGCATTAGAAGCCACTCAAGCAAGCCGCCAGTAGTTCAGTGCCGGAAAAGTGAACAGTCTTCATACAAAATAGCACCCAATGACTACAAAAGTTCACTCTCCTTTTAATTTGGAATGCATTTTCAGTCCTTTCCCAATAATTAAATGTTTATGTGATTGTTTTAATGTCCACAATAATGATTTTATCCACCGTGTTGGAAATACATAGAGACCCGTGGAAACCGCACATCCGATTCGAAACGATACATTAGAAGGCATTAGAGGGCAAAAGCATTGTAACGGCAACATTTAAACTCTTCATTTTCCACTCTCTCATACCGCCCTTTTTAAGTCACTATGGACTTTCTTATGGAGACCCCGACTCAAGTGTTTCTAGAACATTATACCCATCAACATATCAATTCGGTATCGTGGCCTGAATGCACGTCCGGGCACAGATTCAAAAGGAGTCCCACTGACAAAAGGAGTCTCGACCTGCGAGTGGCGTCTCTAGACGGCGACCCGATGACACCGCCGACACCCTCGTATGGGGTCAGATCGCTGCATAGAGCGGACACCACCACGACAAAGAGCTCCACATCAGATAGCGGACTGCCAGCAGCCCTTTCAACAAAAACACTGCGTGCCTTTTCAGAATCTCAGTCAACAAAAAGCAGGCCGAGGAGTCGGCCATTTTACCGAGCCTTCATTACTCATCACTCATCAGGCCAGTCAGCACATATCGAACGGTCGATTCCTATACACGGCTCGGGCGTGCTCCGTCAACTGCAGGGAACGAGCCCCGGCCTGGATAATCATCTACTAATGGGGAGCGCCGACAGCGCTGATTGGAGGCCTAAACCGCGGCAAAAGGCGTCACATTGCGTGAGAAATAAAACGCCGCCAGACATCCTCCGGGTCCAGAGTCTTGGGAACGGCGATCACCAAAGGGTGGCACGAAATGGGGTGACAAGACTGCGGTCGGGGCATATTAGGATGAGCCGAATCGAACTGCTAGCACGCACAAGCTGGTCAGCATTATAGCCAGGCTCGTGGCACATGAACCAATAACCGCCCCAATTCCTTACGTCATAGAGAGAAGATTTATCTTTAAACTGGGCACTATTGGGAAGGTATCTTACTTTTCAGATTCATGCTCAAACAAGTCGAAGAGGAGAGTACACTTTTGACAAACAGCATTGATTGCTGATCAAGCATTGCAGCATTGGTAAAAACAAGCATTAAATGTATTATAGCGACTCAAAAATATTGCAAATAGTAAATACTTGAAGTCATAATTGACTCCAAGGAAAGAAATTGAACAAATTATTAATCTCGCAATTACAAGTATAGTCTCTTTTGTCTCAAATAAAACTTGTTTAAATAAAAATTGGACAACAAACATCGCCGATTGATGAAAGATACTTCGTACTCGGGCAGTTGGCAGCGTACTCACCTACGACATTTGCCAGGGCGAGCAGCTCACAGAAGAAGAACTTGTAGAACCACCAGTTGTGATGGCACAGGTTGATGTGCAGGTAGTCGAGAAGCATCTTCTTCTTTTGTTTCTTTTCTACGTCTGCCACGAGGCCAATGTCCATGTCGAGAAGCAGAGAGTGGATCTTCCCGCCCTCCCAGTTCTTCCAGAGCCACCGCGGGATGTAGAACAGGATCGCCTGTCGGGAGGTACCGGCCACGTCACCGATCATTCACCGGTAACACAAAGTTGAGGGGATGCACCGCCACTGGAACACTCCGTCCCAAACAAGAGTTAGAAATAGGAGCGGATTCCCAGCCAGACGCGACGAGCCATCCGGCACAGGTGCAATGTTTGTTGAACGGACCGAATCAATCACAACTTCACCATTCTATCAAACGTAAACTGTCAATGATGTGAAAAACGAATTGTTTACATTTGAGCCTGCTTCCGAAAGGAAACAAACATTTGCACAGAGTCTCTAACAAGCTGTGACAGTTAGACGATGCGCGAACGGCTGACGCGAAATTAATGAATCGGCTCCGCACGGGGCACAACTGTTTAGATTTCGTGTGAAGCAATGCCAAGACATACAAACAATGAGCTACATAAGCATGGACGATGATCGTCCACGTAAGTTATCAGAGAGCATTGATCAATGGTAGATAGGGTGCAAATCACGGAGACATTCTTAAACAGGACAGAAGGTCAGTCTACTTCAGAAGACTGTACAGTGTACCATTTATATTTTCTCATAAAATAAATAATCGTCACCTTCTCAGCAGTTTAGTTACGTTTGAGCTGCTCGGGTATCTGGGCTTGATCAGCAAAAACTTATCGCACGCGTTGAGAGGGTTTAGCACAAGGTTCTGATGTGGTCAACGGACAGCACGAATCCCCCCTTCCCCGTTCGACTCTCTGTAGTGTTAACCCTATTAGTGGCAGGGGGGGGGGGGTTGTTTTCATCCACCCCTCAGGTTTTTCGGGAATATCTCCGAAACCGCTGAAGCTACGATGCTGAAATTTTGTGACTTTTCCTAAAACTAAATTGGGCACATTCCCTCAAAATTTCAAGTTCATAACTTTACCAGGGGCGGCTCCAGAGCACTGGGAATTGGGGGGTCCTATTCGTGAAGCGAGTCATTTGGGCGAAGATCACGATGCTGATGCATTATAACTGTATGCACCAGTTTTCCGAACAGTGAATGAAAGGTATCATGTGATAACATATACAAAGTTATTATGCATCCTCTTTTGACACGTTTTTGCTATAATAGGCGGATCCAGGCGTCCAAAAAGGGGGGTTATTTTTTACCTCCCAACATAGGTGCCCTGACACCGCCTATGCATGACCAATACAATTTTAGTCGTTCTCTCATAAGAAAATTGTAACATAACAAGACCATTGCCACCCTTTTTAGAAACAGTACCAACAAAAACCTTATTTACTATACTTTTTGTGTACCCCCAATCTCAATGATCTGTATCCGCCTATGATTTTTGAAAATGCATATTTTTAGGATCCATGTGAATTCCTGGTTCATTCTCTATCGATCGGCAAAAGTTGCGTTAAGATTGGTTCAGAAACCTGGCCGTGATAAACAGTCTAAAATGTATCTGCAATTTGCCCGTTTTTCCCCCCTCTACCCCCCCCCCCCTATTGACATTTTTTAATTTTTATTTTTTTTTTAGAAATGTAGATCACGTTGAGCGAAATCGAACGCCGTTTGAATTTTGAAAATCGGCCCGTTAGATCTCGAGATATCAAGGGGGGGGTCGTAAACAGCCCCCCCCCCTGCCACTAATAGGGGTAGCCAGGAGCCTGCCACTAATAGGGTTAAGCACCTGCACTCTTCAACGGGCAACCACCGAGCGCCATGGGACTCAGTCCCATGCGACTTGATTTAGACGACTCTTATCATCTTAGGCATTTACGCATACGAAAGTTAGGAGAGAACCTGGGAGATTTGCGTCAACGCTCGACGTCTTCAGTTTGTATTTGTCGCTTGGCGTCAGCTCATCATCCTGAGGTTTACATACTGTTGACGTCTACCACTTTATCTTGAAACTCCTGGTTACCGGATGGCCACTGACCACTGCCACTGGCGCCACTGCCAGACCATCCCTACACGATCGGCGAGCAATGACCGCCGAAGCGAAGTAATTTGGTTCAGGTTCCTACTACCGAATTTCACGAGGTAGCCAACATTCTAATAAACACTAGAATTTTACCAATAATGGTTAAGACAGCCATATTCAGTCCGGACTCAGCCCAGATTCGGATACGGGACAAATCGGATCTCCATGAAACCCGCAGACAGAAGAGCCCTTGTGGTAGGAAATAAGTGGCCCAAACCATTCGGCGGCACTCCTAGCCGTTTGACCTACCTAGAGCAGTCAACAATAGCTACGGCCCCCTAATCTGCACATCAGATTGTGACCAACCACCGCCCTCGTCATCCTCAGGATAAACCCATCCGCATCCCCCTCACACTCCCCCTGTCCGGGCTGGCGGTCACCCCACCTGACAACCGTTGGATGAGGTCGGGCTCCACCGGGACCTGTAATTCCTCTCTGGGGTGACCGTTTGGGAGACGAGCGGACTGTCCCAATAGGGCAACCTGGTCCCATCGGGACGGTCTCGCCTCCACGTATCACAGCCAATGTCCCGCACAGGTGAATGTCTACGCCCTATCCAAATATCCCATAGCTCTTCATTGACCTTAGGCCGAAAGAGCTCGCAACAAAAAAGCAAGCAAGTGACCCACCCAGTGGAGCACCCGAGCCAGGGACAGGTCGAACGGGGCCTGGAATCAGCGGTCGAGCAATAAGTCGAATAATAAGTAAGGAATAAGTGGAGTAAGACGAAAAATTGATTTTTTTCCAATATTCGAGCACAAAAAAGTGCGATACAAGAAAGGAAGAATGGCGAGGGACATCATTCGATGGCCCACAGACCGTAGCAACTCTCCTGGCAAATGGGCCGTGCTCTTTGTTGACCTCTTTAGTCTTTAGTCTTTATGTCAAACAAAGGTGTCGCCGAATGGTTTGAGCCAGGACTTCCCAACACAGGGACTCTTTCATGTGCGAGTTTCAAGCCGATGAGAGTCATTCTAAATCTGGGGTGACTGCTGAGTCCGGGTGTGGGTACTTACATGCGTCGGTTTGTTGCCATTTCACGCTGCCCAGATCAATTGAGGTTTCATAGTCGCCAGCGGTTTGCAGGTTACTGCGGTCTATGGGCTGTCGAATGATGTGCTGCGCATCGCCATTATTCCTATTCGTATCTAGACTGTACAGTTGTATACCTATTCAGGAACTGCTGTACAAGCGCTTTTTTCGACCTGACACTTTATAGATCTTAGATCATCACGTGACATTTAGAGATAAAATTCATAGTTTCAGGTCATGGCAAGGCAAGGTGCCATAGGTAAAAGCATCCCAGCCAATCCCCTCATGGGATTTTGCGATGCATCCATAAACTGAACCCTCCAGAGTCGAAATCGGGAAAATAGAAAAACATTGGAAAACGACCCAAGTCCCTTTGCTTTACATTCAACATCGGCACATACATAGGTAGCGAATACCTATTATTCCGATCAATGCATAATTAAATGTGTCAGGGCGCCCCTCCCCCCACCTCCAAGTTCAGCAGCCAACAAAGAGAAGACGACCCAGCCCAATCCGCAGTCAGCAAAGTGGAAATCGTTTCAATCAGCTCGTCCACCCCCCCCCCCCCCTCCCTCCCTCCCTCCCTCCACCCGGCCCCACCTGGCCTCGTGTGAAATGATATGCCGCCAGGCGCCACTGCATTGGCATTACCTGAATGACTAATGAGCTGTGACACACATACTGAACGTTTATCGATCTTTCATACTGTCTAGCATCTTGGAAAAGTGACATTCCAGCTGATCCAGCACCTGCACAATTAAAGTCATTGGAATACTGAGCTGAGGATCACGACCAGCCGACACGGACAAGCTAGCACGGACCTCGATCGTTACAGTTATAAAGTAAAAATTAAGTATACTTACTTGAAAGAACAAGCAGAAGCAGACCCACTGGTAATACTTGATGTACCTCACGTCGTCTGGATCTTTTGGCTTGCCGATACCTGGGTACACGATCTCGCCCAGGTCTCCTGGCGTTTTGCCAACTTTGAGGTTGAACGCAGACGGAACATGGTATGTTGTATGAATCCAGCAAAAAGTGTTGACCACATCTTCAGGAATGTCCTTGGAGTGTATGCAGTTGATTGGATTTCCGACATACTGTCGCGTGGTCACCAAAAGTGAAAACGATATCAAAATTAACACGGTCACCGAGTAGTGTATCCGAAACACTGTTGCGTCCGTTTTAACATGGCTGACTTTGATAAAACTCTTGAGCCCCCGAAAGATATCCAGCATTGCGCCTATGAAGGGAAAGTGTTCTAACGGCCTCAGACAATAAAATCTCAAATCCACAGCAACACAGATCTCTGGATCAGCCAAAATCACAAACGACTCCCTTCCCACGCAATATCTTTCAGTGCGTCGGTTTTCTGCTTTACAAACATTCCCGGTAGCCTCCTTCATTCTCATTGGTCGCTGGCATTATCAAGAGCATAAAGAAAGAAAAAACGCTGCATAGATAATGTTCTTGCTGTTTGAGATCAAGTACGGGCTAGTAAATGTTTCCACGTAAATCGACGTATCAAAACGAGTGCAAAAACGTGCTATTTCACCAGGATGATGAGAGATTTAGCAATGTGGTTTGTTCAACACAACTATTCACTCTTTCACATGAAGAAACACAAGCTCGAATGCGTATGAAGATCAGTCGAATGTGGCAGTCGCTGTCCCGTGTTGCACACCTGACGCACGGCCGCTGCCACCGACCGATCCGGCCCGTGCGGCTCCCGCCGGCCGACTGAGTGCCAGGAGCCCGGCACGCTACGGGAGCACCTATTCAGCGGCAAGGTAATAGGCATCCGCATCAATAGCACTGATGAAAATATGACATAGTAAGCGTATTAATGTTTGGTCGATACGGTATTGTAAGAGCAGAAGCGCGGAGGGCAGCCGGCAGATTACGTATCTATCACGGCATCTTATGGCTTCTGTTCAGAGCCATTCAGTGTGGCTGTGCAGTGTGCACCAACATAAAAATAAATACATTATCTGTTTCGAATCCACGTTATCAATGTGTCAAACCACGACTTTCTCCAATTTTTTTTTTTCTGGGTCGAGTGTCACTGCAGAACGCCAACCCAGTCAGCAATTTGGTCTGGCTCAAGTCCGTTTTGCCCCGGTAACTCCGACATGCCAAATTTGGACCGGTGTAAACGGAACACCGTCAGAGCCGGGGTTTGGGTGGAGTTCGATATGGCTCTATTCCGGCTAGTCAGCCTTTGCTGTAGCACTCCCGAGTTGGTATGGTTTCGGACCGCCAAGTCTGGTTCAAGTCCGGCTCCCTACGTCCAGGTCCGGCTGCCTCGAAGCTGCTCTGGCTAACTGTGGCTGAAGTACGGTTGAGGATTGAGGTAGGCGGCACGGCTGATACGGCTTACGTCCGGCTGTGGTGCGGGCGAGCTCCGGGATCGTGTGTCAGCTGACAGCTCCAGTAGAGCCCCAGACCATGCCCGCACCTGATGCCTCGGCAGGAGTAAGATGCCGAGAGCTAGCCAGAGTAAAACCAGCTACTGGCCCAGGCCAAATTTGCTGGCTGGGAAGCGGAGGGTCTCAAATGTAGGAGACTAGAACACGACTGTAGAGAGATGAGGGATGGCTGTTGAGTGTTGGCATAACCCCCTCCCCGCTACCCTTGCTCCAGGCCCACATAACGACGAGGATGAACGGCGTTGTTGAGTAGGTCAGACTTAATCTCATACGTAACTTAGTGATTTTTAGTTCAGCTAGCCGATGTCATCAACAATCAAGTTGAATTGTATCGATTGACAATGATAAATATCGATTTTATATATCGATGTCTTTTTTTCTCTTGGGCTGCGAAGCCGATGAATTTTCCGCGACCACGACCCCGAGTCCAGCTTCGCTTCCAAAATCGATTCCGACCGACTCAGACTCCGCAGCCCTGATTTTATCACATAGCAATGAGACCCATTGCACATTTTGGACCCATTAGGTATATCTCGAGACCCAATACAAAGCGTTTCACAATTTCTATTTACGACATTTTGAAACTTTCAAACAAAAATGAGTTAGGATTATGAGTATTATTTAATGCTTAAAATGTTAAAGGTGAAAAACATTAGCTAAGTTTCGCAATTCGCATACCAATATTCATTCCAGTAAAATTACAAATCCGAATTCCGAAATAACAGTTCCAAATCCGTTACCAATTCTGTCAATTCTTCATTATTCAGATAGTCAAAAATATAAAATAGCGAAGTTTTATTTCCGCTGTTAAATACGGTGTGGAGAGGAAGTGGCAAGAAGTACACAGAGAAGTCGACGACTTTCACACGGATGACAAGTTGTAATTTATATTCAAGTTACTTTTGAGAGAAGACCTGGCAGAACGCACCAGCCACAAACTTTGGTAAGCCATGATGTCCGGTATGCCAGTGGACTGAGCTGGGGAAAAGTCAAATATATTCCCACACGCAAAACCTGAGCGTCTCCGAGGCTCTGGCAACAGCCGAGCCCGCTTGTTAGATTGCTCTGAGATGTTTGTTAGAACTAAAGAGTAGCCTATACGCACCATAAAATGTCAAGATGACACTCGAAACTGGACATCACACGTTACGCCCTCACGGCCTCGGGGCTGGATAGGAGAATGCGTTAGACCCCGGCCAATGGCGGGTCCGCCCTGAGCGCCCCATCACATCAGTGCGCAGGTTATAGTACTGTATCCGACCCAGGCGGCAGCGGTTCTACATGCAGGGCATCCACAGCTCGCTGTGGCGGCAGTACTTGGTCTTGAATTGGCGTGTCAGTGCGTCCGGCTCGTAGCGCGGCGCCTGCAGCGCGATCTTGCGCGCGAAGCGCAGGTAGGCGGACACCTCGTTGACGATGGCCTTGCTGTCCACGGGGTCCTCGCAGGCGTGGCGCGTCTCGCCGTTGAAGGGGAACGTGCGACACCAGCCGCCGACCTTTGGCGGCGCGAACCGCCAGTCGCGACCGTTGCCCCACTTGTTGTGGAAGGCGTGCCAGTTGTAGGCGAGCATGAGCATCTCTCGCTCCTCGCCGCCGGGCCGGCCGCACAGCGGCTCGGAGGCCGGCTTTGTCTGCGACAGTTTGACCCAGGGCGAGGTGGGCGCCGGCTGCGGCCCCTTGGGCACCAGGTAGTGGGTCTGACAGGTCAGGTAGGAGGGCAGCCCGTTGCTGACCGGCCGCAGTGTGGTGATGATGCCCAGCTCGTTGACCAGCACGGTGACCGCAGAGGCCATCGACTGGCCGCCCTCCTCGCCGCCCCAGAACGGGTTGCGCTTGTTCTGCCGGCGCGTCCTGCGCGCCTGACGCTCCGAGCGACTGCTCTCGAGGGCGCGCGCCTGACAGCTCTCCTTCTCGGCACGCAGCTTGTCCAGGAAGGAGCGCACCTTCAGCGGGATCTTCGGGTCGGGCTTCTCCAGTTCCCTGGCGGCCTGCAGCTGCGAGCCGCGCTGGCCCGCCTCCACGGCCGCACCCGAGTCGGCACTCGGCTCCGGGTCGGCGCTGGAGGCCACCGTGCGGTCGCTGCTCAGCGTGGTGGCGCTGGAAGTCCGCTTACCCCGCGACCGGCACCCCTCGTCCGACGGAGCCTTTCTGGCTCTCTGGTACTTCCCGCCGGCGCCGTCCTCCCTCCTGAACTTGTCCTTGGACTTTCTCCTGCGCGCCTCCAGGCTGCCGCTCTCCAGAGTGTCCGAGCTCTTCCCCCATTTAATGCTGGCCGGGCTGTGCAGCAGGTCATCCACCGAGGCGGCCCGGGCCGAGCCGCGCCGCGCCGGCCGGCCCTCGCTACCAGAAGGCTGCGGCCGAGCCCCGCTCCCCCGCAGCAGCACCTCGCTGCCCTCGCGTGACACGCAGCGGCGCGCGCGCAGCTCAGTCCACGACCCGGCGCCGGCCGGCGGCCCCAGCTCGGGGTCGGAGCCGGCGGCGGCGGCGCACGGCTCCTCGACCAGGCCGGGCTCGGAGCCGGCGCACGTGGTGTCCGAGCGCGGCGTGCTGTCGCCGTCGGCGCGCCGCCAGCAGTCGAGCGCCACCGAGCCCGACGACATCTGCCGGTCCGAGCTGTAGATCACCGTCAGACAGTCGTCCGAGCGGCGGCGCCCGCAGTCCGGCCAGGTGTCCGTGTCGCTGGCGCTGGCCGCGTCGTCGGCCCGATCCGAGGCCGTGCGCTGCTTGAGACGCTTCTGGCGCACCGAGGACGAGCTGGCTTCCTTGGTGACCGGCTGCGCCGCCTGCTGCTCGTCCGCCTCCGCCTCCTTCCTCCGCCGCCGGGCGGCGTTCTGCTCACGGATCTCCTGCACCGTCTTCGGTCTGCGAACAACACAAAGGTCACCACTATCAGAGGTCGTTAGCAGAATCGACTGTCCTTACTGACGATGGCTCAATGCCAGCAGTCCAGGCAAACACCCCATGCTGCGACATTTAGCCTGGTCATTGCGTTGGCTGTCGTACGGTCCCTGAATACACGTAACGTGGCTTACACACTCAGTTTGTTTGCATACTCCAGGCCACCACACAATGTTGCACTCGTATATGATGTTCTATGTGTGCTGAGTCCATAAGGTGATACGAATGGAATGACAAGACGAACTTTTGGAAGAATATTCTTAGAACGCTTACTGTCTTCCAACTGCGAGTCAAGTCCACTAAAATCATTTATTATGTTCTAATAGTTGGCAACAAATCGTCTTTTAACTACCATATTACATTACGATCTAATCTAGCCAGCCTGACGTCGGCCGTCAAAAGGCACTCTCAAACAGACCGCTGCCAGTGAGACCGCCGGCGGGTCCCACCTGGTGAAGAGTTTCTCGTCTGGCGCCTCACCTGGTGAAGAGCTTCTCGTCGGGCACCTTACCTGGTGAAGAGTTTCTCGTCTGGCGCCTCACCTGGTGAAGAGCTTCTCGTCGGGCACCTTACCTGGTGAAGAGTTTCTCGTCTGGCGCCTCACCTGGTGAAGAGCTTCTCGTCGGGCACCTTACCTGGTGAAGAGTTTCTCGTCTGGCGCCTCACCTGGTGAAGAGCTTCTCGTCGGGCACCTTACCTGGTGAAGAGTTTCTCGTCTGGCGCCTCACCTGGTGAAGAGCTTCTCGTCGGGCACCTTACCTGGTGAAGAGTTTCTCGTCTGGCGCCTCACCTGGTGAAGAGCTTCTCGTCGGGCACCTTACCTGGTGAAGAGTTTCTCGTCTGGCGCCTCACCTGGTGAAGAGCTTCTCGTCGGGCACCTTACCTGGTGAAGAGTTTCTCGTCTGGCGCCTCACCTGGTGAAGAGCTTCTCGTCGGGCACCTTACCTGGTGAAGAGTTTCTCGTCTGGCGCCTCACCTGGTGAAGAGCTTCTCGTCGGGCACCTTACCTGGTGAAGAGTTTCTCGTCTGGCGCCTCACCTGGTGAAGAGCTTCTCGTCGGGCACGGGCCACTGCGGCGAGATGGTCGGGTCGTTGAGCGAGGTCGGCAGTCCGATTAGGTCAAACAGGTCGTTGAGCAGCGGCTTCTTGACATAGATGTCGACGTCGCTGTCGGCGGTCAGCGACGGGCTGAGGTTGACCTCCATCAGCCAGGGGCGCAGGTCCGAGTCGATCTGAGCCAGACACACAGATACAGGGGGCCGGGTCAGCAGACGGTGACACTGAAACTGCAGTATTGCATCGCACCACGCCGCATTTCGCATACAATAGACCTCAGCTGAAAATGCAAATAGCGCCATTTCAGACTGTCCTTAATAAACGGTGTCGTCACTCGTCAGCGCCGAAAAACACACGTTGTGATTAAATATTTTTATTACGGAATAGGGAACATCGTTTCTAATGTTACGATGACCTTTGCTTGTGCAATGTTCTGTTGCATTTAACCGGCAAATGGCACCCCTTTCTGACTTTACGATGCTCCGGAGGGAGGCACCGACCACATTTACCAGTATGTCGAACCCGTAGAGTTCGTAGCAGTTTCGGGTGACGGGCACGTCCTGTATGTGGCTGAGGACCGTCAGCGAGATGATGGTGTTGACCCGCTGCCAGAGAAGCCAGTCCTCGACGCCCATCTGGTGGAAGTAGTGTCGCAGCTGCGACAGCGTCCACTTGCTCCCTGGCGGCGGAGCGGCGCAGCGGTCAGCAATCGAATATGCATGGAGCCTGCGTCTCCGGTCAGCAACCAATTATTAAGGCATCGCCAAAGCGAGTAATACCGCCTAAACTTGGATGTGTTCAATATCCACATCCAGTTCGATATACTATTCTTGTCAAGGCCAGTAACCACATCAGTCGTATAAAATAGTTTTCTGACGGAAGCACTGATACCAACCTGCGCCAATTCGTTCCTTTTCAACAAAGTAGGCTGGTCCCAGTTTGTTCAAAGACGTATTGGTTAAATGTGAGAACTTGTTGTCCAAGTACATCATGTTGTACTTCTCTGTGCTGAATCTGTGGGCAGCATAAGGCGATGGACATTGTAATTGCGATACGCAGCAAAAATTCTTAACGGTTCTCGACAGAGCAGTTTATCTTAGTAGCCGTCACCCATTCTCGACTATTCATTGAGAGACAAACATTTTTTCCACCCTTAGGACATATCAAACCTCGTTTTTGATCACCCACCCTTGTTCCGAGCTGGCGAGGTCAGCTCTCGATGGGGAAGCGCCCGAGAAGCGATGAAGTGAAATCCCGTCGGATTTATCGTTAGCGCGGCTCGCCGGCTCGGTAGCCTGTCTCTCAGGACGGGCTGAGACGCAGCAGCGCGCCAGCTGACGGCCACTTGACAGTTGACAATAGCAAACTTCACAGCTTCAGAAATTATCCCGCAAATAAACTAAAGACAAACCGTCGTGGCTGGGTACATGAGGTATAAGTGGCTGTAATAATTTAAACAGCAACGTCACCGCGTGCCGCAACCGATCGTAAATCATCAAGGCGGGAAGCAGGGTTTTCACGAATCATTCTCTTTGTTTTGTTTTGTTGGGCTAGGTTCTTTCGGCTGGGCGGGTCCTTTCTCGAACGAATGAAGCTTGAAGATGCTGGAGCAAACACGCAAGGCACTTTCGGGGTGTAATAGCCACGTATCTCCACTTTTTGGCAGTGCCGAACTGCTAAACGCTAACGCTGGTACAAGGCCGCTGGTAACCTTATCTACAGACATCTCCAGCAGGTTATCCGTTCGATATGTAATGCGGCACAGCATAGTTGCAGGCGTTGTACACTAGTGACATCTAGCGGCGAACAGAAAAACCTTAGCTCCGTGCGTAAAAAGGAAAGATGAGCGGAAAGTTGATTATACCTTAGGTCAGGAGTTAGGAGTCGATGGATTTTTGGTGACTTCGACGAGTCCGGCTCCGGCTTCAAAAATCTACTCCGACTCCAGCTCTGACTCCGAATATTTCGCTAGTCAAGCTCAAGCTCATGTCGAAGATCTTTCTTTTGCCCGTGAAACAATCCTTTGTGCTTTCCAAAGCCTTACATTTAAAACAAACTTTATAAATAACCTGCAAAACTAAAAGCAGGTTCTGGCGTATGGGCCAGCTTGTGCTTCTTTTCGCTGAAAACGCTCGTCAAAAACAGCAGTATGGCCTAAGCTTCGACAAAAGCTATTTTGGAAAGGTCAACAAGCTTACTATTCTCTAGGAAAACATGTAATAGGGCATGTTTTGTTAACTCCGACTCCGCAGTCGGAGTTGGTATTTTTTTTTTTTTTGCGACTCCGACTCCACACCTCAGCCCTGCTTTAGGTCGCATTTTCTTGGCTTTTTTTCATTATTTTCCTTATCAAATTTGAGGAAAGTACGACGGCAGCAAAAACCCATTCGTTCCGGGTAATAAGACCCAATCCAAATGAAACCAGCCGTTTTATCACAGGCCACTATTTTTCACACCTCCAATAATCCGTCGGAGGGCCAGAAAAACTATTTCTGTCCTGGGTGGCGCGGCGTTTGGAAGGCGGCACCGTCACGCAGCCCCTCGGCCGGCCTCATTCGCCTCATCCATTTGGGTGTCGTTGCCGGGCCTGCAGTGGGTGCTCGCGTGTCGCCGCCGGCGCACCGCCGGTGTCACGTGACAGCCCCGTGTGCCGGCCGGCCGACGGCGCGCACCGGTCACGTGACGGCCGGAGACCGTCCGTCGGCCGTGCGTGACGGACGGTCGCCGGGCAGCCGCTCCACTTTTGGGAGCCGCCGTGTCGAATAGGACAGCAGAACCGCCAGAAACCAACATTCGCAAATGGCCCCAGGTAATCTCAGAGAGCCGCCGCCTTCTGCATACTTCATTGGGTGGAGGCACGTTTTTGAGCCGCTGTCGCATTACTTAAGAGGCCGTACCCTTCATGGAAAATTAACTTCACCAATATTGCAAGAGTGAGCGCTGTTGCGTGTTCAAAATTGCTGATGAAGTGGCAGACTCATTTGACATGCAAAAGGTCCGTGTAATCACTTCGAAGTACATTTGATGCTAAAAATAATATCACAACGATGCACTGTTAATCAATATAAGAACCCCACTAGATTGCACGAAAGGAAAATAGTGCAGCAGAGCCTGATGTTTTTCGCAAACACACACCTTTCTCCGCCTAATTGTGTCATTTTGCCGCTCACCTGGCCAGCCCCTCCTCGTAGAGGTAGACTGTAAGCGGGTGGTAGGAGGGTATGCAGGCGTAGATGCGCAGGTCGAACTTGTAGCCGGCGATCAGCAGCGGGTTGTGGATGTAGCGCTGCACCACTGCGTTCGAGTCGTACTGCAGCGTAGACAGCTCCTGTCGGCGCGACACCGCGCTCATCAGCGTCACTCCCGCCTCACAATTGCAGGCATCAAATGACTTTTGAGCGCGTAACTCACCTCAAAATATATAGCGGCATGTATGTGTGATGAATCGCAAAACGTATATCCTGAGCCAGCACCCATCTCACTCCATATTCATAAACCCCACGACATTCACGTCGCACCGCGGTCGGCTCGGTCCGCCGCCCCGTCTGTCTGTGTATCCGTTCAATGGGCGCCGCCCTTACCGAGAATATGGTGATGCCCTTGCCCTGGCTGGCGCCGACCGGCTTGCAGATCCAGGTGGCCTTGTCGCCCTCCTCCAGAATGCGCGTGTACTCGGCCACCAGTTTGGTGTAGTCGAGCGGCAGGTTGTACGTCTGTGGACTGCAGAGCGGCCTTACAGGGCTGTCGGCCGGCACCGGCCTCATACCGGCTACTGCGGCTCACTCTGGTCAGCGTGAGCCTGAGCTCTCATCGCCACTAGCCAATACAACGTGACATACTGCGAATCAGCCTATGTACATCTCTCGACAAATAAACCAATATAGTGATTTATTAATGGAAAGCCAATCACAAAAACGCATGGGCACATAGAAAATAATTGCAGGTTGTTTGAAATAGACCACAACACTTTTCGTTAGCATTGTGTTTTTCTATTGAAATATAAAAGTGTTCGTCTTGATCATTGTGGCATTACGTTTTCACCTGTAGTTGTAGATGTTGCCGTAGACTTTGTTCATCCTCTGCAGGTGCCTCGCCAGACAGTCCTTCCGACAGATGGAGTTGGCTCGCGGAATGTGGTTGACAAACTGAAAAGGCAACCGCTGCGTAACGAAACGGTGACATGCTCACTGGTTTATGTTCGAGATGGGTAATTCCTGACAAAGAAGCGCCCGATCAGCAAAATTGTGGGCCATGGACTTATAATGGACTATCTCATGAACACATCCAACCAGGGCCTCCTCTAACATACCCACTGGGTGGGCAAATGCCCACCCAGTCACCACAATTGCCCACCCAGTGGCGTCGATTTGCCCACCCAGAAGCAAATGCAAAAATTCTGGTCCGGCCGGGCGTCCGGTACTACCTTTCTGGTCTTAAGCAAACTGGATGCTGTTTGAAGGTCAAAAAAAGTTTTATGGTTGCCCGATATTCAGGGGCGTAGCCAGGATTTCCTCAAGGAGGGGGCCAAACGCACAGGGGCCCAAGATAACCCCCTCAAAATCCAAAAAGCCATCTGGTTGCATCCAATATTTTTTGGAGGGGGCCCAAATAAATAGGGAAAAATATTTATTAACAAAAATATTAGAACTTAGGGGGTAAGCAGTCCATGGGCCCCTGTTAGATAGGCCCACGAATAGCTTCATAGAGTCGCCAGTCGGTTTTGAGGGCGGTCTGAGGGCCCGTAGGTCGGATGAGGGTTCTTCAGACCGTCAGAGGCCCCTACAGCGCATGAGAGCCTCGTAACTCGTAAGCCGTCTGAGGGTCATATAAGCCGCCTAAGGGCCACTAAGACCGACAAAAGCCCTCCTTGCACTTGCAGAGGCCCAGTCATGCCGACGGAGGGCTCTCTTAGACAAACTAAGGACCCGTTCAGGGCATTTGAGGGCTTCCTCAAACCGATAGGGGTCCCTCAGATCGACAGTGGATCCGATCCGAGCTCCCTCAAACCGATATAGGGTCAGACCAACAGTCGGAACGCATTGATTCTGTTTACACACCGTTGGACCCTAGTTGGACCCATCCCATCCAACTGGCCCCCTGGTTTCAATAGGGTCCCAAGGCTCTAAAATTGGGGCTCTCTTGGCCAAAGTATAACTACTCAGCTGTGTCAAAGGATCTGCCGCAGGGGCCTTTGCGTCGCCAAGGGCCCACTGTGTCAGCCAGGGGCCCCTATAGAATAAGGACCCCTGGCTTCCAGGGGGGGCATGGTCCCTTTGGCCCCCTCCTTGGCTATGCCACTGCAGGTGACAAACGTTCTTCCAGGCGACCAGGGGGCAGGGGCCAGGCGACCAGGCCCCCAGGCGGCTAGCCCTCAAGCGACCGGGGCCCCCTAGGCGACCAGGGGCCCCAGAAAACCGGGGGTCATCGGATGAGTGCAGGGGCCCATTGGGTCATCAGAAGGCCAGAGAAATGAAACTTCGATATCAATTTTCTTCCGAGTAAAAGACGTTTTATCCAGTGTTTGAAAAAAATATCCCGGGGCCTGAGGGGCTCTCCCATGGCGCGTTTTGCGCTCAAGGGAGTGGGCCATTGCCCCCGTGGCCCCTCCCCCTTGGCTACGCCCCTGCCGATATTGTTATTCATGGACAAAGCCAGCTAAATCTCTAAATACGGCTGAGCTGAACAAATAAGCAAGAATCATTACCGGTTCGGGTAGCCTTTACCAGGGGCGTCGCCGACGGGGGGGTCGGGGGGGTCGTGACCCCCCCCCCCCACTCTTGAAAAATGGGGGTGTCGACCCCCCACTTTTTGCGATGTTGAGTATGCTTTTTTAGCTTTTATGTCAGTGAAGCAGGCGTCAGCAACACCAACAAATATGTACATCAGATTCAGAATCGCTTCAAGAGCTCCCTAAAGCCAATTAGCCAATTAGCTTAAGTTCAATTAGCTGTGGGCGGGGAACACCAGCACAACAATACTTTTAAGTAGCCACCATTCTAGTACCTTTTTATCCCTCAAAGGATTGGACGCGCCAAAACTGCCCCGAGCGTTCGTCTGATCGTTAAAAAAATGGTCGCAGTCGATTCGTCGGATCAGTACCTAACTACAAAACTACAAACTAGCCTCAGCCCCATGGCTACCGTCACAACTAGCTGTGCACATGTTGTGGACAGTAGGGGACAGGGAGTCAGATGAGACCGTCTCGGGCTTTCGCAAAGAAAAGAAGTCGCGCAAAAAGGAGCCGATTGCAACGAAACTTCCGGTGCGCTCAAGTTAATCACCTACTTAAAAATAAATCGATATCCCTGATTCAAAAAAAGATGACCTTGGTTCCCTTTTTCATAACATGCTTTTAACCCGCGCCCTGCTGGGGGGGGGGGGGTGTTTGAACACCCCCCTTGTGGTTTTTCGCGAATATCGCGCCGCCGTTTTTGGTACACCTTATCATACATCAATTCTACACATGTTGTGAAAATTTCAGACCAAGGTCATTCAAGGTCAGGTCACCAGGTCACTTAAAGTGACCTCACCTTATAAAAAGTTTCAATGTCTGTCATAGCTACACCGAGTGACCGATCGCTTTGAAACTTTCAGCGATTGCTGAGAGCAATAGCATGTACAAAATGTATTTCTCATAATTTTGATGTCGATGACCTAAGGTCAGGTCAATTTTGCGACCTCCCCATTATAAGTCAATGGGAGAAAATTGAAATGCGCCTCTTTTGGACGAAAGACATTATAAACACTCCCAAACACTGAATTACAAGTGGTTTAGACACACTGAACATGAAAATGATGTCCGTGACCCCTGTTTATGCCCTGAGGTCATCTTAGGTCACGAATGGTATCTAACAGTTTTTCGCAAATAACTTTTGATAGAGGCATGCTAGAGCGATGAAAACGCCTTAGATGTGTTCAGCTCGACGATACGGATCGACTGATATGCAACATGACCCTTTCCGGTCAGGTCATGACCTTGACCTGAGGTCAAATTTTCAAGTTGACCTTTCAAGGTCAAGTTATAGTTCATTCGATGCGTCTTGACGAGAGGAACACGATGCCGGTAAAAGTAAGCTTGTACAAGGCTTGGGTCAAAAGTTATTGCAGAAAAACTGTTTCCGAAAAAATCGGCTATTTTTGCAGTTTTTGCCCCCTGCAGGCAAAACCGTTGACGTTAGGTCAAATAAAATTATTCAGAAAGGGCGTTAATAGGGCTATCGAATGCGCTTTTCCGCGGCGCTGTATCTCTATTGGTTCCCGAGTTATGCGTTAGCTTCTTGGAAATTGTCAACATTCGACCTGGAAATCGGCGAAATTTTGCATTCAATGACCTCTGGTGACCTGACCTTTGACCTGACCAAAAAATTGACCGAAGTGATTTCCTCATTATTTTTGACGCTCTTTCGAACGCCGCCTTCCGCGTATCGCTACGTGGCCCAGGAGCCGAGTTAGAAGGGGGGGGGGTTGTTCAACCCCCCCCCCCAGCAGGGCGTGGAAATCCAGGACCCAGGGGCGTAGGCAGGGGGGGGGCCACTGGGCCATGGCCCCCCCCCTTGGGCGCCGAAGGCGCCCTTTGCGATTGGAGGGCGCCGAAGGCGCCCTCCAATCGCAAATGCAATTGTGATATAATCGAATCGAAAAACAATCGCGACTGGAGGGCGCCCTCCAATCGCGAATGTGTTTACAGGGAAAATACGGATGGATGGCGCCCTCGGAGGACGCCCATTCCAAATACGCCCTCCAACCACATTTGTAGGCTGTAGCTCTCTAAGCGTAACGGTGGTCGCCTATGTAAGCCGCTGTCCTGTAAATAAGCGCCCTCTCACCCGAAGGCGCCCTCCTGTAGGTCGCCACCCTGCTACACATTGCCGCCCTTCTGCTGATCGGCGTCCTCATAATTATTGGCGCTCTCCTACCTATTGAGCCCTCATGTGAAATTTTGAAGGCCGCCTTTCTCCCTTTTGGCACCCTCTTGTTCAGTGCCGCCCTCCTACCTATTGGTTCCCTAGTCCTTCCTGTTGAATGTTAATCGGGGCCCTTCTCCTATTGGCGCCCTCGTGTAGATCGCCGCCCTCCTAACCACTGGCACCCTCCTGTTGATCACCGCCCTCCTATCCACTGGCACCTTCCTGTTGACCAGCGCCCTCCGCACAGACGCCCTCCTGTTCGTGTCATCCTCTTGAGCAAAGGCGCCCTCCTCACCATTGCCACCCCCATTTTAATCGTCACCCTTCCGCTCATTGGCGACTTCCAGTTGATGACCGCCCTCCCACCTATTGGCGACCTCTTGTTGATCGCCACCCTCCTATTGGTGCTCTCCTGTTCCTCGCCACCCTCTTACCTGGTGGCGCCCTCCTGTTGATTGTTGATCGGCGCCCTCCTACCTATTAATGCCCTCCTGTTGATCGCTGCCCTTCTATCCATTGGCGCCCTCCTGCTGCTCGCCAACTTCCTACCTATCGGTGCCCTACTGTCGAAACTCGGGATGTTGATCGGGGCTCTTCTACCTATTAGTGCCCTCCTGTGGATCGCAGCCCTTCTACCTATTGGCAACATCCGTTGATCGCTGCCCTCCTATCATTTATTTACTCCTTTGGCATGTTTTTCAACTTAGTCGTTCTATTGCACATAGTTGATGTCTTGCCTGTGAAAACTGCCACAAATGAACGTGCATTCAGCACAATGAATGAAGTATCTATACCTACCAAAACTATCTACGCTCTACGATGCATAAAACACGTCTTTGGTCTTCACGGATTGATCCTACTTTACGTGCATCATGGCATCTATATGGATTACGATTAAGTATTGTCAACAGGTTCGGGCGCAACAGCAGGCATCTGAAGTTTCGGTGATTGAAACTGGTTATGTGGGTACACTGTATGCATCTGTGAGAAGGCTATGAAGGCTGGTCTGAGGTAATTTGGATGATGTTTACGCATCTCGCGCTCCGGTATCAATCCGATACGGTGATCTGGTGCGTAGATATGCCACCGCCAATAAACTTTTATACATCGACACCCATGAGCCAAGCTTTCTATACAGTTTGTGTGGCAGCGGCCCGACCAAACCTTAGGTATTTTTTACACCTTCAAATTTGGTAAAAGAGCGAGAGGAGCTTTGAACAGTGATCGTATAAAAGGCGTGCCTAAAAAGCGGAGGAAAAGGTTGTTTTCAAAAATTTCGCGCGCCTTCGGCGCAGCATTTCAAGAACACTTGACCTTTTGTGACCTGGAGTATAAAGAATACACACGATGCAAAATCAATGCAGCACGACCTATACGAGGTTACGCAAAAAAAAAACTGGTGGCATGGTAAAAAACGCCTCCCAACCCCCCAACCCCCACTGAGCGATTTTTTATCTCGCGACCGTATGGCGCCCTCCTTGGGTGAGGTGGCGCCCTCCAAACCCTTGGCCCCCCCCTTCGCGATTTTCTAAATACGCCGCTGCCAGGACCCCCAGCCGGGCGCGGGTTAATTTAGGTATAGGATAGTTTTTGGAGCTGATTTTGAACTTAGCGCCAATCTGAACATTTAAGAAGTAGTTGTGTTGCTTATACATATGTATAACATGTTAGGAAGCAATCGGTGGTGGTCATCCACTATTAGGTACTGGTTGATCTGACCTGACCTGATCTACCCCAAATGCATGGAGTCATCATCTTCGTTCAAAACTAAGATAACATTCGTAATCAGAACCTCGAAAAACCATCACAACTTACATTCGCAAAGTTCTAGCAGGTCCCGAGTTTCCCTACTTATTGGCGATGACCTGAGTCCTGAGATGACCCGAAACCTTGTAAATGGGTATCATCGGCTTTCTCTCGTCACGGGCAGCATGCTCTTTTTCTGCAAACCTCTAGATCGATCAGGGCTCGAAAGCATACCTCAGCGTTACTTTAGTATACGTTATACGTTAGCGACTGGGGCGGTGTTTCACGGGACGCTGCTACCACGCTGCTATCAAATTGCGCGAGCTGACGTCACACTTGCGGTAGTGTTGGAGCAACGGGCCTGTTGATGTTTCCATGGAAACCCAATTTGACACGTGTAAAAGCAGCGTGCTGCTATCACCGGTGAAACGGGGCCCAGGAACCCACCAATAGAAGGGCTACAGTGAAGCAGAAAACATATTCGATAGCTCTTTCAACGCTCTTTCGCTAGATTCGCGTCAGATTTCATCTCAGGTCTATGTTTTGCCCATAGAAGGCAAACAGCGAACTGGACAGATTCTGCCGAAACATTTGCTTTGCAATAACTTTAGATTCCGTGAATTTGTATTGTATTTACATATGTTGTCTTGTCACCACCGTGTTTATCTCTTTTGAGACGCGTCACATGAGTTAAAATTTGACCATTCAGAATTAACGTTAAAACGACCTCAGGTCAACGTTATGTCCTGATCGAAAAAGGACCTCCTGCTGCATATGAATGGATCCGTGTTGTTGAGCTGAACAATGAACACCTTCCAGGTGCTGTCATCGCTCTACCGCGTCTTCGTCAAAAGTTGTAGAAAAAAAATGCTGGTGGCCCTCGATGGACATTTCCACTAATGACCTTTCGAGTCATCACTCGCCATAAGTTGCACCCTGTCCCTGGCAATGATGAGCTGATTTGTCATGGCTCCAAAGATATTTTGCGTTTCTGACGAACGTTTTCAAAGCAGGAGGCATTCGTGCTTTTTCTAATTTCTCATTATTTTCTCATGATGAGGTCACGTATTTGACCTGCCTCCAGATCATAGATGTAAATCCTCAGAATCATGAATTGCTGACACATATAACCCCATACATTAGGTATACAGTGTACCAAATTTCGAAGTTATGGGAGAAAAGCTACAAGAATGGCGAGAGGGGAAAGTTTGATAGAGGTATACCGTATGTATAACTGAACTTGACATGGCGACCTGGCCTTAAGTGACCAGTGATAATTTTTACGCAAGTGATGTAGGTAGGTATACCTACCTAATAGGTTATACCAAATTTCGCGGCGCTGCGCGCCGATTTGTTACACGCGCACACACACACACATACGCACGCACAAAACTGGGAAGTGTGGCAAAAAATCACCCCTACCCATCGGGTGAAGACTAGAAACCCGACCCCCCACTCAAAAATCCGTGGCGACGCCCCTGGCCTTTACTACAATGTATTATGTTAGTTAGCCCTCGCCCGATGAGGGGGGTTGATGCACCCCCCTAAGGTTTTTCACAAATAACGTAAAAACGGCGGCGCTCAAATTTCGCATACCCTCTGGGGCAACCTTTTGGCACTTGTCCTGAAAATTTCAGGTCTCTAGTCTTTTCAGGTCAGGTCACCAGGTCACAAACCCGGTACAAGGTCAGGGGGAAATTGGACTAACAGTTAAGCGGCAACCGAATGCCAGAGTTTTTCGTTGATAGCGTGAGTTCTATAGCACGTAGCGCTACCAAATTTAAGACACGACTTGGAGCATCTGTTTGTCACTTGGCCTTGGAGTTTTAGGTTCCAGTGACCCGAGGTCAGGTCACAAGGTCACAAAAACTGGTGCATTGTCAAAATAGCAAGAATACCGAATAAGAATACCTACCTACCACGCAGTTTGCAGAGGGCTGTACATGTAACTCTGGAACGAATCCCTCGAGCATTGCTAACCATAAAACATACGACAAACGTTAACTTTGCAAACTATCATCTTATTTCCAATAACGGCACTGCTTATTTCGCCTCACCCCCGCCCCCCCCCCCCCCCTGGTAACAGGTTATGAAATTGGTTGAACCCCAAAACAGTGGCTGGATCCACCCTTGGGCAGGGGAGTAGCGAAAACTTTGCCCACCCAGTGAAAAATCCTTAGAGGAGGCCCTGCATCCAACAAATTGCATGTCTGGATTGATTTTTACGTGTTCGGTCACGCTGCCGGAGAGAAGCGATCCCGCCCCTTACCTGCCACGGCTGGAGCAGCCGGTGCTGGGATATGGAGAAATGAGAGTTGCGCCACCAAATGTTCCAGTTGTCCACGTGATGGGCATCCTCGTCAAATAAAATCCAACCGCGATCCAAACAAACCTGAAGGAAAGAGAAGCAACACCATTTACGCGAAACCTGAATTGAGCGTACGCACTTATTTGAGGTTTGTCGTCTAAAAAGTAAGTGCACAATCAAGATACGATGCACATTGCAGTAGCAATTACTGCTATCTCACTTCGCTGCGGAAAAAGGCGCTCAACTGCGGTAAACATTACATGCCAAACGTCAGCCGGTCTCGCTGATTTTTCCGTAAGCCCTAACATGTCAACTTATTTTGTTCGTGACCACACCAGAATGATCAGACGCTATGTGATAAAAGGGTCACACAGTCCCGTCTTTTAATACACCAAACTGAGTTTGTAGTGTTCGAGTTGTTCCGTGAAGCAGCCCACAGGGACCCGAGATGCCCGGCGGGATCGATCCTTGCTATCCATATTGCATGCATGCACTTTGTGTACCCAGCTCACGCGGAACTGGTTTCCGTTCAAACCAATATATGGACCACTCAGCTGTTTTGGACAGCAGTGAACTTTTGAGAATTGCGACCTACTTCTAAGTTTATCGACAAAACTTGAAAACCTGGCTGCCGGCGCTGACGGACCGAAAATGCCAGCGGCGACGAGCATTAATAAGGCCGCATTAGCAATTAGTCACCTCGAGGTATTCACCGTCTTCGTTTACGCCACATCAAAGGCGTCTGGATGGTTTGGGGAGAGTTTATTGGGGCGCCAAGACACTGTCAGCGCCTGTTTTACTGGCACGTTCCGGGAGCCTTTTGCAGGGGAATTGACGTTTGAGGGCCGATGTGCTTCAGCGCTGATCACCAGCCCAGGCAGTAGAACACGTAATGGAGGCGGCACATTTTTTAACAAACTTATTTATTTCTTCGCTGCATATCAAGTTTACCAAGCAGCTGCATATATGTGCTTGGCCAAGGAGCCCACAGAGGCCGCCGGCCGGACCCAATGACCCCGGGCCTGGCTCCGGCGTAACCTGTTGAATCGCCGTTTTAATTTTAGCTTCTTTCCGTTTAATTTACAGCCCATGGCAACACGATGGGACCGTTCCTCCATATCACAAACCAGATGAAGGCGGTAGCCAGTGATGCAAGAAGCTGTCGGTTTCAATGGCATATGTCAAGCACAACGGCAGTGGTGGTAGCCAGTGATGCAAGAAGCTGTCGGTTTTAATGACTTATGTCAAGCACAACGGCAGTGGTGGTAGCCAGTGATGCAAGAAGCTGTCGGTTTCAATGACATATGTCAAGCACAACGGCAGCCGTTTTCGCATTAACAACTGTAATTGTGTGCCTTCTTCAACTCGGCTGCATTCGCCAACAAACGGTTTCGAAGCGGCTCGTACCTGACAATTATAGGTACCAAAAGTTATAATTTTGCTGCCTGGAACGGGAATCGCAATGAGATGATTATACTGGCAACCGTTTGGTTGAGCTTAAATCGATCATAAAATTGGGGAATTCGTAACTGGCCACCAGCTCAACAATTCCGTAACTTTAATATCCGGCAGGACCAGCCCAAGACTCCTGAAACACGAACTTAATCATTTACTTTAGCATGCATGCATAACAATTAACAATCCATTTCTTTTATTTAGTCGTCAGGGGATCAAACCATCAACCACTGTTAGCCGTTAGGGGCATTGATCATTTGAAAATAGGAGTTGACTGCTGAATGATCGAGGTACTTAACTTACCTACTTCCCCACTAAAGGACAATCTTATTGCCAATAGAGGATGCCTAATTAATACCTAGTGTAATAAGATTGATGTAATAAGGACCTTTGCCTGATACCTAAGAAAGTAATAGGTACGGATAACTTACCACTTTTGGGAATAAGCTGGCTTTAAAGAGCAATAAATATATTAATCCCCGGAGTGAACGAAATTATGCGCGTAGTTAGATATAAGTAAGAACCAAGTGTTTTAATAAGCTAATAATCAAATGGCTTAATTTGGAAGGAACAAGGTGTACAAATCTTTCCCGGAACATATCCAATTACCAAAAACACCGAACCATTTCATCACGAATCACAATTAACCAGTTTTAGCGTGCCTATAGTGATTATCATGGCATATAATGTATAACGCCGTCTCATTGCCAGCCCCAATCCCCTTCATACTACACTTAGCAGGACCGTCACCTTTGAATTAGCTCCTTCAAAACAATCCTCTAGTTGGCAGCAAAACTAAGCGTTCGACACCGGCAGACCCTAAGAGCAAGTGAATGAAAGACTGTGAGCCTATTGGCAAAGGCAAAAAGCACGTAAATGGTTACATGTCATTTGGATCACTAATCAGACCATGCTCCTACTCACCTGAATAAGCAGGTCAGGTCCATTCAGCTCCGTCCTTCCCGAGACGCGGAACACAACCGGACGATCTCCAGCGATGGGACCCGTTAGAATCATGGGTCCACGGTTGGAGGGCGAGGCGGCGTCTGGTCGCTCACCGACGAGCGGACCCTCCCTGCGCATGCTGGCTGAATTCGTTCAGCCAGTCAGCGTAGCGCCTATCATAACGCTCGTACACTGGCTTCCCCGCCCTCTTACGCTATTGCATTATAAATGCCATCACAATCTAAATCAGGAGAAAATAGGGAGCAAAGACGCCACAGATAGCGGTCACTTAGTGGCGTCAATTCGTTTCGTTGATCGTTTTTAACGCAATAATTTTGATTTTGTGCATCAAACAAATGACTTAATTGTAGATCCTCGCTCTTTTTGCCTACAAAATAGTGCAAAAATGCAAAACTTGTATTTCAAAAACGCCAAGACGCCAACGCACGTGAATTAAGTCGAAAGAACTCTCAAATGAAATCAAATGAAAAAATGGAAACGATGTAGGTGCACTTTGTCCTAAGCAAGAATAGGTACAGGGTACCAATAGGTAGTTGTTTCTAGTGTTGAAAATCATAAGTCTAGACTTAAAGCATAATTACACAAAGCTGAAACGAAAGGAGATTGCAACAAATGGGATGATAAGGTTGAAATATACGTCAATATAAGCTAGTTTCCAGTTAGAAGGTATACGTTGTCACTTTGTCAGTTGCATTTAGTAATACGAGCACGGAGCAACAGTCAACAGCGGAGTGGACACTAGATGGTTTCTGTTAACCCGCGCCGGGCCGGTGCTCCGTGACTTCCGCGCCGGGTCGGGGGGGAGGGGGTGTGTCTGATCACCCCCCCCCCCCGTCTAGCTCGGCTCCTGACCCTGTAGCGACAAGCGGTAAGCGGCATTCGAAAGACCGTAAAAAATAATGACGGAAACCTTTATGCCATTTTTTAGGTTAGGGCAAACGTCAGGTCACCAGAGGTCATCAAATGTTAAATTTATTCCATTTCAACAATTTTGGAAATTGCCAACGGCTACCTCGAGAACCAATAGAGCTACAGTGTCGTGGAAAAGCGCATTCGATAGCCATTTTACGGACCTTCCTGAATTTGTTCTCAGATTTGACCTCAGGTCAATGATTTAGCCTTCAGAGGACCAGAGGGCATAAACTAAAAAGTCGTTTTTGCGAAAAAGTTTTTTTTTTCTGTAGTTACTTTTGACTCAAGGGAGCCACGACATCGGTTTTGCCAGCATCGTGTTCCTCTCGTCAAGACGCGTCTAATGAACTATTAGTTGACCTTAAAAGGTCATTTTGAAAATTTGACCTCAGGTCAAGGTCATGAATTGACAGGAAAAGGTCATGTTGTAGATCAGTCGATCCGTATGGTCGACCTGAACGCATCTGATGTGTTTTCATCGCTATAATATGCGTATATCAGAAGTTATTGGTGAAAACTGTTTAAAGGTAGACTGCCACCTTTTTTCCACAAAACGGTTTTCACTAGATCTGAGCCACCTATGTCCCAGACTGAAGTCGGTTTTCCGAAATTCGAACCCGTTTGCGAGAAATCGGAGACCAAAGTTCAGTTTGATGCCATTTTTTTAGTCCAAGAAAACCGACATCTCTACTGTTTATCGATAACTTTGAAACATGAATTTTCTTATCTTTTGGTAAATATATGTCAAAACTTTGATTGTTTCGACATCAGAGAAGAATTTTGGAGTGTCAAAATAAAAGTTTAACTTATATATTCAGTAGTTCAATTTTTCCAAAAAAGTGTGGGAAATGGGGTTTAACATGGGCCAGACCCATTCCAAATGAGCCATGATTTTTAAATGTTTTACGAACTTAAATGCAAAATAAATTACACATGGCCAATTTCTTATGAAATCATATATTAGTAAATCATAAAATACCTTACTTTTTCAAATAAAATGTAATAATCTTATGACCTTGAAGTCTAGTGATGTGTAAACATTGTCGCTAGACATTAACTGATTGATAATTGTATGATAATCGACAATTTTTTTCGCGATTCACGTGATGATACTTTGTCAGGTGAATTATTAAATTTTGTTTTGTCCAGGGAATAAATCATAGGCCGATCTGAGAAAACTTTTGAAGGTGGCAGTCTTCCTTTAACCTCCACTTGTGACCTGAGATATAAGGAGGGGTCACGGGTGCCATTTTCCAGTTCAGTGTGTCACGTTGACTTGTTATGAGGTGTTTGAAAGTGTTCAGAATGGCGTCCGTCCAGAAGAGACGCATTTCAATTTTCTCCCATTGAATTATAGGTAATGGGGAGATCGCAAAATTGACCTGACCTTAGGTCACCGACATCGAACTTCAGAGATAAGCATTCTGTACAGACTGTTAGTCTGATAAAAAATCGGTAAAAAAGTTTCAAAGCAATCAGTCACTTGCTGTAGCTTTGGCAGACATTGAAACTTTTCAGGAGGTGAGGTCACTCAAGGTGACCTGGTGACCTGACCTTGAATGATCCAGGTCTACAATTTTCACAACATGTGCGTAAAGATGCAGAAACAGGTGTGCCAAAAACACAGGCGCTCCGCGCCACCGCGCCGGAAAGATATGACTGGTTTGGTCATCCGTCGAGTCGGTGACGCGGTGTATAGCGCAGCATCAGCAGCTCTGCCGGCGCGGTCCGGCCGGATCGCGGCTATGCTATCCCGCCCGACGGCCGTGTGGTGCGGTACAGTATACCTCCCAGGCAGCGAGCCGAGGTCCGCCCGCCGCGCCGCGGCCGAGGTCTGCCGGCCGGGCGCGGCGGTCGCCGGTCGGCAGATACTCATTACTGTTACAGTGTGGACCGTGAGCAAAAGCCTAAGCTATTCTAGCACAAAATCCCGCCGGTTTTGAGTTTTATTTCCGGTTTCTGAGGGTTTCGAGTCACGTCGTAAAGTTTATCTCATAGCACAGGCGGCGGAATGGGGTTGGCACCGGGGCACCGGCCCCCCCCCTTTGATTTTGGCATTATAGCATTAGCCCTATGGGCGTTGCATGGAAAGAATGGGACCAAAAGTCGGCAGTGCTCCCCCCCTTAACTGAGGGTATTCCGCCGCCACTGTCTCATAGCGATGCGTAGCGCGACCTACACTGCCAGTCTATCATCCCGATAGTAGTTCAAACCTCGGTGTATCGCCTGAGAGAAGCAGCACCAACAATTCGCCTATTCCCGTTTTTAATAGGACTTTGGATACATACATGTGACAATAAATAATGACATGGAGTTAGGACAGATTTGTGACCTCCCCTTATGAGGCAAGGATAAGTGCAGATAAGTGGATAAGTGTTCCCTGCGTTGAACAAACACGTCAACGTAAAACCGGCACTCTATTTTCAACATCATGACATCTCTACCCATATTTATTAAGCCAGAGCATATAGAACACCATTAAGCATTATGCAATGGATAGGGTGCAGCTGCTGATGAGCAGTGGTCACTCGACTGGTAAAGTTAGGGCATATCTAGCCGGTCGTCAGCAGTTTTCCCAAGGCCCTAAATACAAGTTTTCCGATGTAACCTTTCGATTGAAGCATGATAAAGCGATTAAAGCATCTGGAAGGTGTTCAGGTCAACAATTCGGATAGATTGACCTTTTCCGGTCACGTAATGACTTTGACCTCAGGTCAACTTTATAAGCCGATATTTTAACCCGCGCCATGTGGCCGATCTCATAAAGCTTGGTAGTATTTTACATTCAGGCGTATGTTACGCCCTTAGAAACTACCCCTCCAGAGGTGCGGTGGTTCTACTACGATCGAAGGCGTACTCGTATTATGCGCCCTCCCATTGGGCTTGGGATTTGGATATGCTTTTTTTGCAGTGTATTTTACTACATCCACTTCTTACTTCATAGGCAACCATGTGGTCACACCCGCAATCGCTTTGTGAAACCCTTTGGGCGTAAAATGAAACCAAAGGGTTGAAAAGCCGTCAGTCGCATTTTACGCCCTTTTATGGATCTGCCGCTGGCGAAAGCCTCAGCAAACTTTGCCACAGGGTGGTGTGCCACACTGGGGTCATGTATTTGGCCACATCCGGTGATCTTGAAAACTAAGGAAGCTTAGAAAGACGCAGCAAAAATCAATTATTATTATTTATTATTATTTTTCGATTCACCCGACAACCACAAACAAGTGGGCATTACGACGGGAACTGACAAAAGCACGGATAACGCAGTCTCGCACCGCTCGCACATATCATACAAGATTGTTAACATTTGCAATTCACACTTATGCACAACTTCACAATAGGTATACACATTCGAATAAGACGCATCGCAGTGCTACATTCCTAACCGCTTAATTCGCCAGCATCCGCTTTACTTTTAAGGTATTTGCTAAACTCGGCGATAGAGCATTGTCGTAAATGTGGAGGTAACCCATTCCATATCTTACAACCGTGATACGATAAGGATGCTTTTTTGTATTCGGTTTTAGGGATGACAAGGTCCAAATTGCCACATTGCCTCGTCATTCGCTCAGATCGTTTCATTTTAAAAAGCGATGAAATAGCATTTGGAGTATTTTCTGGGAATAGAAGACTTTTTCGAATAATTTTCAGCACAGCCATATTATGCTCGGCCCCAACATCACCATGCCAAGCTAATCTCTGTGATTCACGGCCAGCAATACGCCGCGCAAATTTTATGATTTTCCCTATTCTTTTCCGTTGCGTTGCATTGCAACTTCCCCAGACAGATATGCAAAAACGAACGTGGGGGAGGACTAAAGCATTGATAAGAAGCACAATCGTTCTTAGGGGCATAATGTGGCGAAGATGACCAAGACGAATCAACATGCCTATCGATTTCCCCACAACGGTGCTAACATGTCGATCCCATGATAGAGACTGGTCGAGCGTAACGCCTAAACTTACGATGGATGAACTGATCGCAATGCTGGTATCAAATATATTGATGCTCTTAATACTCATGCGTCTTAAGCTTGCTTTGGAGCCAAAGAGGATTACTTTTGATTTACTAACATTAAGGGCCAGCCGATTTCGAGAAAACCATTCAGCTAATATTTGAAGGACTGCTCGAAGGCGGGAGATCATGTCATTCACGTCTTTGGGTGAGCCGGAAACCACGATCTGGGTGTCATCAGCATATTGAATAATTGTACATGACTCGGGTACAGCAGTTGGCAAATCGTTAACAAATAAATTAAAGAGCATAGGGCCCAAAACACTGCCCTGGGGCACGCCGGACAGAACGTCGCGTTTCTCATCACAGCCCCTAACAAACTGTTTTCTAGCGTCTAAATAGTTCTTAAACCATGGATGGTCAATGCCATAGTGACACAGTTTGTCTAAGAGTAAGTTATGATTAACAGAATCAAAAGCTTTGCTTAAATCGAGAGATGCCAAAAGGCATACGTCACCCTTGTCGA